GCAACAGCAACAACAACAGCAACACCAGGGCCCCACAAGAATGCTTTAGCATACGCTTCACGTTTATCTTCAAACCCTAACAAGGGCCCCGTAGGGCGTAAGGAAGGACGGGAGAATGCAGCAACATTTGCAGCAAAGACGAAGTTGCTGCTGCAGCAGCTGCAGCACGTGCTGCAGCAGCTGCAGCAGCAGCAGCAGCAGGGCACACGCAAAGAAGGTAGCGGCATTGTTGTACATACAGGTGCAGGAATAAGCACAAGTGCAGGCATACCAGACTTCAGGGGGCCTTCAGGTGTATGGACACTTGAAAAGAAAGGAAAAAACCTCGCAGATGTTGAGGCCAGCATCGCACAGGTGCCTATACACCTCAACCTGCCTATACACCTCAACCTGCCTATACACCTCAACCTGCACATACACCTCAACCTGCACATACACCTCAAGCAGGGACTCCATACTATTGCGGGAAAAAAATATATGCCTTCTTTCTTGCTGCTGTCTCTTTAACTGCTCGTCTGTGCAGCAGCAACAACAGCCGCAGTAGCAACAGTAGCAGTAGCAACAGTAGCAGCACCAACAGCAGCAGCAGCAGCAACAGTGGCAGCAACAACAGCAACGCTAACAGCTGCACCAACAGCAGCACCACCAACAGCAACACCAACAGCAGCAGCACCACCACCACCAACAGCAACACCAGCAGCAGCAGCAGCAGCAGCAGCACCAACAGCAGCAGCAGCAGCAGCAGCCAGTGCGTGTGTGTGTGTTTGCTGTTTAGGTTTCCTTTGGGAAGCAGCGAAGGGCTGTAGTTCCTTTCAACTTGGCTCTCCCTACTCAGACCCATCTCATCCTGGGGGCCCTCTCGCAGCAGCAACACCTAAACCCTTCCTTAGCTCTAAACCCTAAACCCCTCAAAGAATGCAAGCATGAAACCCCCCACCAGCAGCAACAGCAGCAACAGCAACAGCAACAGCAACAGCAGCAGCAGCAAGATGATGCAAGCAGCAGCACTCTACCGTCTGCAGGGGGAAATGCACTCGGGGCCCCTGATGCTTCACCTAGGGGCCCCCCTGAGGGCTCCCCTGAATGCCCCCCTGAGGGCTCCCCTGGGGGCCCCCCTGGGGGCCCCCCTGAGGGCCTCTGTAAAAGCCTTCATGAGGGCCCCTGTGGGGGCTCCCCTGAGGGCCCCCCTGAGGGTCCCTGTGGGGGCCACCCCGAGGGCCCCCCTGGGGGCCCCCCCGAGGGTCCCTGTGGCGGCCCCCCTGGGGGCCCCCCTGAAGTTTCCTATGGGGATTCCCCTAAGGGCCCCTGTAGGGGCCCCCCTGGGGGCCCCCCTGAAGGCCCCCTTAAGGACCCCTATGGAGGCCCCCCTGGGGGCCCGTATGAGGGGCCGGGTGAGTTAGAGTGTATTGAAGTTGAGGGTATTAGACTATTAGATTTGATAATAACTCAAAATGTGGATGGCTTGCAGCAGCGGTGCGGGACGAAGATGAAGAGGGTGGTGGATGTGCATGGAAATATGTTCGTAGAAAAATGTGCGAAGTGCTGCCGACGATTTTTTAGGGACTTCACGCTGCTGACTTTGTCGTTTGCACCTACTGGACATCTATGCGGTAGGCCTATACTTATACAACAGTTCGAGTTAATATTATTTATATTTATATTTATATCTATATATTTATTATAGTGTATGTGTGTCTTAGATAATATTTCTATGTATTTTATATGTTTACATACACTGTGATATATACACATATACATATAATATATATTATGCATATAATATAATACGAAGACATATAATATAATATAATACATATATATATATACACTATCTGCCTATATTATATATTATATATATAATATTACGTACAAACAGCAATAAGTATTATACAATTGAAAACAACCAAACACTACATACATATAAATAAATATATATATATATATTTATGTAGATTTATATGCATATATATACATATATTTATATATATTTATGTATATTTATATATTTATTTATATATTTATTTATTTATATTTGTGTGTGTGTGCGTTTTCAGGTTTGTGCAGTTTCCCTCCTTGCGGTGTCTGCACAGATGTGTTGTTAGATTGGTTTGATGCCTATGAAGACGATTTTTTATCGAGTGCATTATTTTATTCTCGTCTGTCTCCTTTACACCTTTGTTTGGGCTCTAGTCTCCAAATACAGCCGGCTTGCTACTTCCCTTCTCGTGAACGAAAGAAAAATAGCTATTTAAATATTATTAATCTCCAGCCTACGCCTCTCGATAAACAAAGCAATGTTTGCATGCATGCACCTGTAGATGAAGTGCTGCAGACACTCGCAAGGGGCCTGGGGCTGCAGCCGGGATGGGGGTGGAGCACCAGCAGCACCAGCAGCACCAGCAGCAGCAGCAGCAGCAGCAAGAAGCGTGTGGGGGGGAGATGGGGATCGATGGGATCGTGCGATCCCACGGGGTTTGAAGGAGATCCTGTTGAGTTTCACTACGGCGAGTTTATAAGAACCTCTCTCCTCTTTGTTCTCCGAATACCTACGCATGCGCTGCCTATACACTGGCAGCCGCAGCAGCCGCAGCAGCAGCAGCAGCAGCAGCAGCAGCAGCAGCAGCAAGGGGAGACGGAGACACCGCAACAGCAACACACGCCATGTGCACCGCCGCCACCACCCCCACAGCAGCAGCAGCAGCAGCAGC